AGAACAATACAAAATACAGGATCCCATGTCTTTAAACTCAGATATAAGCCACGCAGTGAGTTGCTTTCTAGTTTTGCTCCCTTGGTCAGGGACAGTAAACATTTGAAAGGAAGTTAATCAGCCCCTCTAAAGCGATTTTTTCAAACAACAAGCCATCATCTGAAGGCAAATGTGATCTGAATGTCAATAGGTACCTTCAGAGGAACTTTGGAAGAAATACAGGTAACTGAAGGGAAAAACAGGATTCCTTCTTGTTTATACCCAAAAGCAAGGAAAAAATGTTCAGCCGGTATAGCTGTATCTGAAAAGGACGTGTGTTGACAGCATTAGGACGCCAAATATGAATTTTGAAAACTCCCTGTTAAATGGTTGCCTTTTGCAGTATGCCTGGACGGAGATCAAATGTGACCTACTTCAGGAAGCAGAATCCTGGAGATCCGGCGCTTTTGTACAGCAGAACCTGCTGGTTGCTCCTTCTGTTTTTTAAAGAGGGGGAGCTAGCCGGAGTGCCATTGCTGTGACAGGAAAAGCTGTGCGCTTCCAGCTGCTTATTTCAGTGACACAAATTGTCGTCTTTGGCATTATCTTTACCGATACGGTTAAACACACTGCATGGAGGCTTTCCACGTCTTGTGTTCTGAGTCTCTCCATTTCTTATGTTCCAGTTTATTTTTTAATAAATGTTAGGTATGGCCCCATGTTAAATGACTTTTCCCTCTATTTTCCATGATGGGCACGGGGCAAAGAATGATAGCTAATGAGAATTATTTTATCCAAATGGAAATGACTGTACCCAGAGGGAGAGCAAGCCCTGTGAGAACGTGACATGCAGCTCGGGAAACGAGGTGTTCCCAAGCCCACAGTTCTGATGGACCTGGAATGAATCCTCGCTCATCCAGTACAAAGTTTTTAATTTGTCAGGTTGAGGGTGGTAATGAATTACTGAGGAACTACCGAAGCACTATCTGGTTTTAAGCAGGAGGAAGAAAAGCAATCCAGTCATTTAGACACCTGTTAGTCTGACCTCAAGAACATTAAAAGCTGAGAAAAAATTGTAAAGGAAAAAGTATTTGGGGACAGACAAGCAAGTGGAAAATAAAGTAAAACGAGACATAGCTTTATTAAAGATAGATTGCATTTAACTAAGATTATACCTTTGATAATTGTTTTCTAGACAGTGGATATACAATAGGTTTAATCTAACTGGATTTAATAGGATATTAAATACAATGCCACGTGGCAAATGTGTAGTTTATCTGGGGAGCTATTTGGTCACGAACAGGTGACAGTAGTTTGGGTGGAAAGGTAGAGTGTGAGGGTCGAGCTGAGCTTCTTACGAACTGGCTTGGGAGCCAATCAGCAGGTTCAAAAATGTATTCAATAAATTAATGGAGAGCAGGTCCATAAAAAAACGGAAAAGGCAGGGAAGTCACCTCAAACATACAGCACCTGTGGATGCACGGGGAGTGCGAAGGGAAGAGATAGCAGAAAGCGGCTGGGCTCCAGCGCTCTCCCTAAACAGCCTTGCTGACTGCCCCTCTCAGAGTGCTGGAGCGCAGGGGCCGCAGGCTGGCCCAGCGAGGCACGTCTGATGTGCTTTTGATCTTGCACGCTATTTTTCAGACAGGCCTTGGAACAAAAGGTAGGAGTGAGGCACTGGCATTTGCTGATGGCACAAAGTTGAGAGGCACCAGCACTACGGAGGGAATATCTGTATTGCTGGAAGAGTTGGATATCATTGAGTGCTGGCACACTGGAAATGGGATGAAATTTAATAGTGGAAAGTACAAGGTCATGCACTTGGGAATTACTAACAAGAATCTCTGCTGCAAGCTGGGAGCTCATCAGTTGGAAATGACAGAAGAAGAGAAAAATCTGGGTGTATTTGTTGATCTCAAGATGACTGCAAACTCCGAATATGAAGCAGCTCTCACGAAACGCATGTATCAACTGAGATATTTCCAGGAGAAGGGGAAAATGTTAATACAAAGCTCTGCTGCAACCTTCTCTGGAATTATGCATGCAGCTCTGGTCACTTTTGATCAAGCGACACAAACTTAAAATGTGACTGGAAAATAATTACAGGGTAATCCTGATTTTTTTTTTATGTAAGGATCTTGAAATAATTTGTTTAGCCAAAAAACTGAATGCTGAGAAGGGATACAGTTGTTCTGTGTGAAACTTCAGGGAGTAAACACAGAAGTAAACACACCTCCCTTAAGAGCAAGGGTGATGTTAGTGTAAGAGAAAACAAGTATCCGATGGCCATGAAGAGTCTGGGCTGAAACATGAGAACACCAGAGCTTCCAACAGCTCAAGTCCTGAGGCTCTGGGTCATCCTTCCCCGAGCTGCCTTCCCCTGATGCAGTCGCCACCAACAGCTGAGAACTGACCCTAAAGACGCAACAAGTCCTTTCCAAACCTCTCTTACTGTTTGAGGCACAGCTGCTGAGTTACTAGTTGGCTTCTTACAAAAAGAAAAGGGATACCCAATGTGGAAAGATATTCTTTTGGGCTGCAGTCGCAACCCAAATGTCATTTTAGTTATTGGCTGTATTCAATAAGGGGACGTTTAAAATCTGCATGGGGTCGTGGTGGAGGCTGAGAGCATCCTGCTCTGGATCACCCCAGCCTGGTCCCTCAGATCATCGCTCCACAGAGGCCGGCTCCTGTGCCCATCCTGTACGTGAGATGCAATCCGTGAGCGGTCTGCACCCGGCACAGCGAGAAATGGCAAAACCAAACGTGCGCCGGGTACTTCCCTGCCCCTGTTACCATCCAGTAACCTTTATTACACTTCATTCTTGTGATCCAAACTCAGACTCTGTGGGCTGTTTCTGTTATGATGAAAAACTGATGGTAAGGTCAGATATGTCTTAAAAAAAACAAACAACTCCAAGTCCTGATTCTGTAAGAAGAGTCAGATCGTGAAACGCAGGGTAGTTTCCTTTCTCAAGACTCCAAACTGGCTTCTTTGGCCAGTTTTCTACCCAAAAGCAGCTCTCTTCATCCTTTCTCTCCCGTTTTGTTTCTTTTTTCATCTTTTACTTTACTTTGTTGTTTTACTTATTGTACTCTCCTTTTTTTTTTACGAATTCCTGAGCAGAATGCTGCGCTCAGACCCATCGCTGACCATCGTATTTATCCTGTGTTCCTCTTTGTGTAGGCGCTTCCATTCTTTCTGCTCCCACCAAACAAGCAGTTATTTCATTGTTCCTTTAATCCAAATGGCAGGTGGTGACGACGTCGGGGTCAGCACAGCGTGAGGCCACCCCTGATTAAAATATGCCCGGTGAGAGGCACCCACTCCGTCAGTCGTCCTGATGGGGCCCAAAAAATGGATGTCCTGACTCATTCCCTTGAAAAGTAGATGAATAATTTGAAAATAATGAGATTTTTATTACATACATATCATTTTTGTCAGAACATTTTCCAACAGTCTCATTTTAGGATTTTTTGTCTTCTAATAACCCTGTTTTAAAACAAGATGTACTATTAGTGACACTTTGCTGAAGGGAAGCTAGCGCAATGAAGCTGTCTTGGCTACAGCTACACATCAAGATGATTATGACAGGACTAATCAAATACGAAGTTTTAGGGGACTCTGAAAACTTCAGTGGAACAGCAACATTTTTGAGCAAATACTGCTTTGGGGACAGTGTTTCCAGCTAGGAGCACGGCCGTCTGAGCCTGGCTCTGCTGGGACGCCTGAGCTGGCTGGCACACGAGAACCCAGCTCCATCCAGCAGATCACAGAACCATAGAATCGTTAGGGTTGGGAAGGACCTCTGAGATCATCGAGTCCAACCTGTTAGCCTAACTGCCTGGTCCACCTCTAAACCGTGCCCCTAAGCACCACATCCACGTGTTTTTTGAATACTTCCAGGGACTGTGATTGCACCACTTCCCTGGGCAGGCTGTTCCAACGCCTGACCACTCTCTCCGTGAAGAAGTTTTTCCTAATATCTAAACCTCCCCTGGCGCAGCTTGAGGCCGTTTCCTCTTGTCCCATCGCTTGTTACTGGGGAGAAGAGAGCGACCCCCACCTCGCTACAGCCTCCTTTCAGGCAGTTGCAGAGAGCGATGAAGGCTCCCCTCAGCCTCCTCTTCTCCAGGCTGAGCACCCCCCGCTCCCCCAGCCGCCCCTCCCCACCC